TACTTAGTGTGTGCCGTTCTGTATCCAGTTCTGGGCCCCACAGTTTATGAAGGATGTGAAGGTCCTTGGAAGGGCTGGAAGGAATGTCCTGTGCGGAACAGCTCAGGACTCTGGGCTTGTCTAGTGGGGAGAGGAGGCGGCTGAGGGGTGACCTCATTGCTCTCTACAGCTTCCTGGGGAGGGGAAGTGGAGAGGGAGCTGCTGATCTCTTCTCCCTGGGATCCAGCGACAGGACACGTGGGGAATGGTTCAAAGCTTCATCAGGGGAGGTTCAGACTTGACGTTAGGAAGCATTTCTTTACCGAGAGGGTGGTCAAACGCTGGAACAGGCTTCCTAGAGAGGCGGTCGATGCCCCATGCCTGTCAGTGCCTTAAAAAGAGGCATTTGGACAATGTGCTCGATAACAGGCTTTAACTTTGGGTCAGCCCTGGAGTGGCCAGGCAGTCAGACTAGATGGTCATTGTAAGTCCCTTCCAAATGGAACTATTCTAGTCTAGTCTATTGTATTCTATTTGCCATTTTTTTAAGGGCTTTCTGGAGTATCTTATTTATTTCACTATTAGAAATTCCTTGGGCAGGGACAATGATTTCTTAGATATCAGCTGAGTGATTTATTAATTACAGGAACAATCCCTTTTTTGCCTGATTTAATCTCATCTGTTGAACTCACATAATTATGAATTTGAATTCAGCGTTAGAATTACTTCAAAACTTGTCTTGTATACACACTCCTCTGTTCTCTATGTAGTTGCTTTACAGAGAAAATTGCAGCAGGCTCATGTCTCCCTTTTACATGCAAAATCATTTTTCTGCTGTGTATTCACATGCCTGGGGGCTGCTCTAAAAAATTATAAAAACTACAGCAGCAAGGAAGAAAGGGAGGGAGGATAGAAATGGTTTGCCGAGAGGCCAGGCTACTTGTCATGGTGCTTGTCCTGTACATGCTTTTTAACTCTCTACAGGAAACTCATGGGGGCATTAATACTGCCAGAGGTAGCTGCGGAGCACAGAAAATTCTTGAGAGTGGAGGTAGACTGCCAGGGCAGGGAGAGTAACACAAGAAAAAAATCATTTATTCAGTTACCTGACTATAAAGGGTAGGGAATCCTAAAGGCCTCTCTTATCCTGCTTGCCTGGCACCCTCTTCTTTTCATTCAATCATTCTGAAAAGTGCAAAGATGATTACAGCTCTACAGCTGTAGTGCTTAGGTATTCATCTGTTTTGTACTCTTTTGGCTTAACTAGGAGCATAAAAGCCTGCAACTGCATCAGAAATCAAAGGAACCCATGAATATCTTCATTTTGTAATCCTCAGAGAAAAGTGACTGAGATGTTAAATTGTGGTACCACACACTTTCAGACAATTTCTGCGGGAAATTTCACACAACTGAACTTAGTATTCTCATACTTCCAGTTATAAGTATTTTGACAAAGTAATAGTTATAAGTAATCCTTAAAAAAAAAAAAGGAATGTGACACTACTATTCTCCTTCCACATGTATGTATTCTGATTTCTTTAGACACAGTCATCCCAAACTGAAAACATTAAAATAGAGCACTATATAATCAATAATTTATTGCAAAATGACAACCCGATCACATAAAAGGTTCAATTTACCTCCAAAGATTTTGTTAAAATTAACAAATTACTTTACTGAAGCATCAGTCTTTTGAGAGGTACTGTAATGTTTTTGCATAGAAACTAATCTTGATTGCCTTTCATTGGGGAAAACGTGGATAATGTAAGAAATCAAGCAGTTCACAGAAAATAGCTCAAAGTATTAGCATTAAAAATCAAAACCAAATAAAAAAAGAACAAGAGAATGTTACATATTTTCAGAGCAGGGAAATAGATTCACTTAGCATTAATAGCAATGATGCATTAGCTCATTTTTATTGCCTTCTGTAGAAGAGAAGATTGTATCAACCATAGATTTTTATCCACTGTGACAGAAGTTCTGCAGGGAGAAACAACAAGGTGCTGCATATAGTCTATATATTTTCCTAAGTAAATATAAATGCAACTTGTCTGGATTTGAGACCATTTGAGGAAAAATAACAATTGGTATTTGGAGATCAGTATTTCTATGTACACAAAAGTAAACAGATAGTAATTATATAGAATTCTTCAAAGCCCTTCTCATTTGTTTTCGTGACAATTTTGTATTTTGTATTTCATGGCAATTAATAAGTACCTACAGCTTTGAAGCCAGCTTCTATTCATTGGATTTAAGAGTTAGTATGCTACAAAACAGAAGATACAGTAACTTGGGATAAAACATATTTTTCAAGAGAGTGACATAAAATAAAGCTTTAGTATATCATGTTTTAAAAGACAATAATAAAGTATCTACACAAACATTACAATAGACAAACTTACTTGTATCACGTAAGGCAAAAGTCAACAGGTATCCAGGATATTAAAATCACTTTCTGCAAAACTTATAAAATATCAAACCCTTTCAAAATTAAAGATTTTTTTTTTCTTTATATTTCCCACTTGCCACTATCCAGCTTGACAATTTGGTATTTACACAATGAGGAGTTGGCAAGAGAATCACAAGACAAAACTGAATGACACCTCTTCTTAGATATATGCATCTGGCTTGGGCTGACAGCTCTACAGGGAAAACATTTGGATGGCTGGAACCAACTGTAGTAATTTGTGGAGCTTATTTATTTTATACCTTCATGTACTTCAGCTTATTCTTCACTTAGATCTTCAGCACACTTTCCCTGATGGCCTGCAAGAATCCTTCTGCATTTGTCTCATTTTCTTTTAAAAGGTGTCAGGGACTTTAGATCAGAAATTCTTCCTTCAGAAAATCTTAGTTCACTGTAGTAGGCTTGGGAATAATTTATCCCTGCCACAGAGGAGTTAAGAGTATTTTATTTATGTATTAGTTACGCAGAGAAATAGAACTGCTTAAACAAGTTAAACAAAAAAAAAAAGAAAAGGTAAGGTGGGTCATAATATCTCCAGAAGGACAAAAGAAAAATGAATAGGGTCACTTCCAGGAGACGTAGGAGGAATAGAAGAAAGCCATCAGGACTTAAAAAGAATGATATGTCAGTTGGGCTGCTACCCATCTCCTGTACATCTACATGGACATTCTGCTTTTCCACCAAAATCTTGAGTCCAAAATATTTTGGGTTCTCATATTCTTTATCAAGGACAGCAGATCAATATTAAGACAGGTTTTTTTGACTTTTCTCTGTACACAAAATAGTCCACCACAAGAGTTTGGTGCAATGTTGCATGCCGTTTAAACAGTACATACGACACTGCTCCAGCTTGTTTATAAGAGGAAAAAGGAGGTCATGAGTTTTCTGCGTGCAAGAGTAATCATAGTTGCCCAGTATCTGGAAACATGGGAATGTATGAGGATATCAGCAATTAACATTTCCCAAAGCATCTATTTTTTCTTGGAGGCATTTTCTTTCTTCTCCACAGCAAAGCCCGTCCTAGTGCCCAGGAACAGTCTTCCAGAGCCCCAGTATATATTTCAGGAACTTCTGCATGCCTAATAAAGACATTCCAGTGGTCGAAGGCTGTCAGTGCGAAACTCATCAGTAGAAAGTAAACAACAAATGTAATTACTGTAAATAGGTGTACTATCATTTGAAAAAAACCTGATAGAACAAATGAAAAATTCAGGAGGCAAATTAAAAAAGTGTGACTTCTGGGGAAAAATGAGAATACCTTTCAAAGGAAGGATGTTTCAAGCAGGAACGCTGATATACTGAATCACAAAGTGACCTTTCAAGGGGAAAAAAATTCTTTTTGGGAAAATTTTTCAGGATAAGAAAGATTTTTCGTTTCTTTTCAAATAACTGAAAAATGAATCTCTCTGCTCAAGCAACCCCCCCCCTGCCAAAACAAAACAAAAAAACCCAAAGTTACCCAAAAGGCAGTAGCTAGAATATGTAACTTGGGTATAGAGTCTCCTGTTACAAGTTCAGATATATGTTTTTCATTTTTGTCAGTATCTAGGTCTGGATGTTTGTGATTCTAGAAACGTATTTGGCTAGGCCATATTAGATCTATCACAATTGAGTGTTCCTTCCTCCTTCCCCAGCTCTGAAAAAGTGGCATCTATCAGTATTGCTGATAAGGAGATGAGAACGCTTCAAATATGTCCTTACTAAATTTTGTGAAGCTTTGTTCTGCAAGAACTTCCTACGGCCTGACAGGTCATGAATGAGATAGGATGCAGTAGGTCTAAATCATCAAGAGGTTACAGCTGCTGCAAAGGTTGTCACTGCGCAACATGCTCTCCAGCTGCCTCCTGAATCTAAGAGGTGGTCCTAGGAAACTGCAATCATTGTCTCTGCCACGTTCTTGAATCCCTTAAACTATGATGGAAAAGGCTCTAAGACTGGATATTTCCAGAATCACTTAAGTACCACAGTAGTTCAGAAACAGACTTGTATCTTTGACCTGCTGCTGACCAGTAAGAATTAGGCACAGGAGTGGGGTACCAAGGCCATATTCACTGGACCCATGAATACAATTCTCCTCCATAAATTGAAATAAACTGAGCTTTAAAAAAAACGCCTCTGGCAGACTCTTCCATGTCAAAACTGCAGCAGCAGAGGATGGCATAAGTTAAGGGGGAAAAGTAATGAGGGTTACCATAGGGAAGTTTTTGAGATTGAAAAAAAAATGCTTTTGAAAAATTCAGTTTCCTTTATTACCTACTCTACCCCTCCACACCTTTACTCTGACAATATACAAGGAATTCAACTTCTCCGTAACAGCAAGTGTCATAATAAACGTAGTCGTATCTTTTTACTTCACTTTTCCCATCACCTTTATACCTCGTTATTGCTGTCTTCTCCCTCCTCTCCCTCTTTGGCTCCTCGTAGGTCTTTCAGAAACCATACAATCCTTAACAAACCTATCTGTAGAATGAATAACCCCACATGTGCCAACTATCTGTCTCTAGGTGTTTCTCATAACATAACAAAGGAGTCACAGTCACAAGTTTGGGTTTGGTTTTTTTTAAGTTATGAGCAAAATAAAGAAAAACAGAATAAAAGATTTAGACATGTTTTAGACAGTAATAAGGTTCAGGATAAAATGTCCTGCTACCATTATGAAGATGGTACAAAGAGAATAGCAAAGCATTGCTGTCTGGCTTGACGTTTGGAACTGGATTCAATACAAGTTGCTCCAGACACCCAGCAGCACCTTGGGAATATGGGACAACTATTAAGCTGCATACAGTACAAAACCACTTTCTGATCTCACTACCGCTACCTTTAAAATCAAATTATTCTTCATATCTTCTTTTCAAAGCATCACAGTAAGTACTAGGTCATTCCATGCTTGCTTGAGAATGTGGGCAAGTAGCAGTTAATAAGCTTAGAGGACATAAAAACATTTTAATGAGATCATCTACTTGGAAGGGGAAGAAGAACCTGGAATACTGTAATTATACTTAAAGTGATGATTTCATGATCCACTATAAAACCAAATCATTAATAATTTTTTTCCTGTGATATCAAAAAGTATTGTTTTCTTATTTGAATTTGGGATACAAAGAAGAAAAATGTCTTTGGTTACAAACAAGCCTTGTGTTTTCAAACCAGAGCACATTTCCCTCATCTTCACTGTCTGCTTCAGGCAAGACAGAGATGGCTTATTACCCTGCTATAGCTTAAGGGATGGAGGGGGAGATTTGTCCTGGCAGTATGCAGTCTACATTTGCAGTAAACATAATGCCTCAATCACATCTGCTGATCAGAGAACCTTAAGAACACAAACCCCAACTCTTACATTTGCATTTTTATCTGTAAAACATCAGCTACTAAAACTCTCAACAGCCAGGTGTATCTGTTCCTAGACAAAACACAGCCCACACAATCCAGTTCAGGCAGGCCACAGTCCACTAACTAGCACAGAAGAGCTGCTATCTCTGCAAGTATCAGCTCAGGATAGACTAAACAAGTTGATTATGTGGGAGTTAAGAGAGGAAACCTCTACCCTTACCTATGCTTCCTACTTTTGCAGTAGTTTGGGGGGGAAGAAAATACAGAGGGAGGAATGAAAAGCTCTTTGATGAGGAAGATGGAAATGACCACCACTGCATCCCTCTCAACACCTTCCAGCAACCTGTCACATATGGAGAAAAGACAGATCTATAGCAATACAAAGGAACGTCACAGCCTGTTCTTTCTCACCCTTGTACAACTGCATCAGTCCCTTTGGAAACTGTGGTGGCTGCAGCACCAGACTCCAAAGCCCTGGGCTCCTCAGCTCCAGCACTGCCCATGCTCAATCCAAGGCTTGCTGACACAGACTGTCACACACAGACTCACGATGTGGCCACTGCTGGGCCACCACCACCACACACCAGCACAAACAGACATATCCGACAGAAGAGGGCAGGGGTCTGTGCCAGGCTGCAGAGAGGGGAGGATCAGCCCCGCGACTCCACCAATAAACCAAAGGTCGACTGCAGCCACTACAGTGCTACACAAAAACTGGTGCTGCTTAATGCAACCTTCTTGATGCCAAAGGTAAAGAAGAAGAAATCGCTGCTGTAATAGGAATGAAGACTAGTTGCTCACCGTTTTGAACAAGCTTCCCTTTGAAAGGACTCTGTTCCAAAGAAAATGGAAAAGAGAGAAAAACACAGAAGATAAGCAAAGGCCAGTTAGTCAGACATGGGAAGGAAGGAACAGGCAGTCTGTTTCATCTTCCTTTTGTTAAAGAGGAGACTTTACACATTGCTTCAGTACCCCTTACCTGGGAAATCCAACATTAAAAATACCAAGATTTAAAAAATACACAGTGGTCATCAGATGCAAATTACATCACAACGAAAAAATTAAACTACCATTAAAATTTGCTGATTCTATCCAGAAAATTGTTTAGACATTCCCAAGCAGTTCTGCAAACTAGGATCAAATGGTACAGTCCCAAACTAATTAAATAGCAAAAAATTCTGTTCCACTTACACGAATTATCACTTTAGTACTCTGATCATCACAGGTTTGTTAGGAAAGTTAATGAACAAATCAAAACCTTTTGTTATTTCAGCAAGAGGAACTACTACCTGAAAAGGCGTGCTTCACATCTGATGAGTAACTTCTTAAAAATAGGGAGCTCTGGCACACGAACAGAAAAATGCAAAGTCAAAACTCTAATTAAATTTAGTAAAACATATAATAGAATGTGCTATGGGTTTAAGAACTCTTTCTTCAAATATTGTAGTCCTTTAAATACCAGCTTTTGACAGTACTGAATTGTTCAATGTTATAAATTTATTAATGTGTTTTAGTGATATGCTTTGCTTCTGAAATCCAAGGACTCCAGGTGAACAAAATTTACGTGCAGAAGTTTGCTGTTGGGTTTGAAAGTGAATTCATTCATTAATATTTCAGAAATATATTATACTGGAAAACAAGAGTCTAGTCACAGAAAACAAAACTTATTAGTGACACGTATTTTAGACATCATAAATATCAGTGTCACACATGTTCTTCAGTTATATTAAAAACAACATTCAACATAAAAGTTGTCTTCAGTTGAACTTAAAAACTACACAACAGTCTTCTGCATCAAGTAAAAAAAATCATCTTTTGCATACAATTGTTTTTTTAAGAGTCAGCATAGAAAAACTTCAGAACTTCTGCAAGCTGCATGTTACTTTGTCCTAATGCACACATAAGAAGCATGGAAGCAAGAACTGCAAGGTAAAGGGTTTATACTTGCATGTAGAATCTACAGACCCTTGAGGGGAACACAGATTACTAAAATCTCACTACTTAGAAAGCATTCAGTTGTATTTGTTTTCAAACAAAAAGATTGTGTAAGTTATGTGTGTATCTAATCATGGAAAAAGTATAGACAGAACAGGTAAGAAGCCCAAGCTACTATTATAATACGAAGGATTAAACTGCTGCAGAAATTTAAAACATACATTGCTTGACAGTGCTTATTTACAAGATTGTTATTCAAAGGTCATTGACTATTAAAATTATTCCAAAAACCAATCTGTTTTTACAGGTCTTAATCCTATAAACACTGCTATTCTTGTCAACACACTGCCATATTAAGAACACACGATCCATTATTTCAAGACTAACTTTATACTGTTTTTCTGTTCAACTGTAATGAGAAGCATTGCTCATTTGATGATTATGTTAGTTTCAGCAAATTAAATATGAAGTATTTGGTTAAAACATAGCCTTAATTCCTAAACCTAACATGTGGCTAAAAGAAGTTCCTAAGGAACTTGGTGATGCAGAGCTGTTACCTAGAAAAATCTTAACAGCTTTGGAGGACTCAGCAAACAAGTAATAGGACAATTAACATCTTTCATGCTGTTTTTAGCTAAGAATTATGTCATGTTCTTCAGCATGAAATACTTCCTGTTTCTGCTGCTTATGAAAACAAGAAGCCATGGGACTATAAGAAAGGCTTATTTAATATGTTTTACAGTGACTTTGTTATCAAGAACATTAGTAACTAGAAGATCTCCAAATCATGAGTGTTATCAATTTCAATAACATCTTCAGGTTCCATCTTTGCTTCATGATGACCCTCCTGTAGATCATCCAGGGAAGCCAGAGCCTCATTTGTGTCGCTAGCAAAAGTCTCACGAGATGCATCATCATATTCTTGCAGGTTAAGCCCTTTAATGGCTTTTTTCATCTTCTTCCCTAGAACTTGTATTCTCCTCTTTTTAGCTGCTTTTTTGTTTTCATACTCTTTTTGGTTTTCCAGATAGAATATTTCCTTGAAAGAAAACAAAAAAAAGTTTGGCATATTCATTTTACTAGTGTTTCCTAAAGAAAATATAAAGAAGTAAAAAAAAATTTTTTTATTACAAATATCGTTCAATAATATTTAACTAATATAGACATTATTGATAGTAAGAGGACAGATTGCACTTAAGGAAAATGCCCCATTAATAATTTTATTACATAATTTCTCAGCTATCTCAAACTGTATGTAAGTATGTATCACTAAGTTTTCAATTCAAGTTTGCTGATGATACAAAACTGGAAGGAATGGGTGATAGACCACAGGGCCATGCTGCCATAGAGGGACCTGTAGAGAAAATACAACCAAAGGTTCTATGACAACTTCAGAAAACTTTTCCTCCACAATTGAAATTTGAGTCCAGGTCTCATGATCTTCACTGTCAAACATTTGTGAGCCCTATTAACATCTTCTCTATGGCAAAATACGACTGTACAAGTTTCCTCCATATTTCAAGGGGTAGAATATCATGTGGCAGAGCTAAATGCTACTACATGCCTTTCTCTCCCTTATTTTTTAAAAAACATAAAACACATACAGAAAACATTAATGCTTTTTTTCTCCCCAAAAGCTGCCAGTCAAGTGCTAAGGATATGCAAATCTGCGAGAGTTATATATGATGACAGGATTATACATACTTTTCCCACAGGTTTGTATGACAAATGATGTCTCTTACCATCAATCAAGTTCACTGAGTGAAAACTGGTACCTCATTAAGCACTTGAGACACACAGTTACAAGGGCATGCAAGAGGGGTAGAAAGGCAAATTATTTTTTTTTGTAATGGGGTAAAGTGATCAAACTTGCAACTTTTTGTGACCACTGTAAGCTATCAGCGGCTGTTTTTTGGTTTTGTTTTTTTTAAACATAAAACAGACAATCACAGTTTATGTTGATTTGTTTCTCAGTTCCCAGTACACGATGCTAGGATGATTTACAGAGTGAGCTGTGGCCACCTACATGCAAAATAAATGAGTCACTCTTTTAGTAACAACTTTATTAAAGTGGCAAACACCATGAAAAAACTCAAGTTGTTTCAACTGAATGAAGAAAATACCATCTCAGTCTATTTCACTCCCTAAAAGGAAAGGCGGTAATATTTACAAGCTGACAAAACTGACTTGGTGAGCACCACAGGTGAGGCCAGGGAGCAATTCAGACTAGGTTCAGACCAGTATCTGACTTAATGGGAAACACTGCCTGGTGCTACAGCTGGAGCTGTATAGAACAAAAATATTCTATTAAGAGACCACCATTCAACTGCAGATAACATTGCTGTAAGGTATATACAAATTAAGGAAAATCCAATGTTTATTTCTTCAGACTCTACAGTCTCATCATCCTCAACAGGTTTTTGTGACTGGCAGTACATAAAAGGTGTCCTCTCTGCACAGTGTGAATGGCAATTAATTTTTTTGTTGTTGTTTTTTTCTTCTTGTATTTTGAATGTGAACTAGAAGTTATGAGAGAGATTCAGTCATAAGATTTCTAGTAGAAAACCCCCAAAATTTACTTTGGACAACCATTTGCACTCTTGACAAGTTTACCTTGATTTGTTCTTCTTTAATGCTAGGTGTGTTCTTCAGCAGGTTTAAATAAACGCCCCCTGGTGTTCTTCTCCTAGTGCCATTCTTAATAGGGAAAGAGCAAATTAGTAATAACAAGCTTAATACATAAGTGTTGACATAAAAATAGCATCTAAGACAATGCTTTGTAGTGAGACAGAATAAAAAAATTTCTGCTGTGTTAGGTATTACATAAAAACAACCCTGGCTATGTTTTATTTGTGATTGAACCAGTCATGAGGTCAACAACCAGCTTGCTACATTTGGACAGGTAAACTATGAAGGTAGAAAAAATTTGCTTTAGAACATAATACCAAACTGTTCAACTACATACTAAATCTGATTTTGGTAGAGAAGAAACAAAATGCAAATACTATTCTACCTACTCTCACAACTATCGGCAATAATGTATATACTAGGTTAAATATTCAGAACATCCCAAAGACATAAGTCCAGTAAAATGTCAAAAATTAACTCCATAAAATTATGTAGGTCTCAGTTTTTGCTCAGAAATTCTACAACCTATGTGCGTATCTGCAGGATTTTGCATTTCTGCCTAAGGCATATGAAACACAACATGTACTTTAAAGTTTCTCCCCACAACATATTATTTCCATGCTTCAACAGTTTTCAGCGTAACAGCAGCAGTGCAATGTGCCATGCTGAATCATGAATGGACTCGGCTTTGAAACCTCTGTAAATTAGAAGCACTAATTATCATATTATTATTCAATTACCATTCATAGCACATGAAGTTGAACTGTTACTCCAGTGCTCTGGCATTGTATTAAATGTGATACTTTTCTACTAAATAACAAAGTAAAATACAATAGAAAAGTTCTAAGAACAGAGAAGGTCAATTTTTAAGTATGTTCTTGAAATAGCAGACACCACATACTTCCATCATCCTATCAGCACAAAATCCCAGGAAAAACAGTATGATCTGCCTCTCAAATACCGTACTCTGATCTGCAGCCAAAGGAACCTGTGCCACCAGGAGCTGTGTCCTTTTGGCAGTGGGGGTGGTGGTGGTGGTATTTTTTTTGTTCTGGGTTGTTCGTTCGTTTCTTTTCTCTCCTCTCTACTTCCAGTGATGGAACTTAAAAGATGTAAATTATAAACAAATTCCTGAAAGTACTTACCAGTTCCCTCCCGCTTTCTTCCCTTCTGAACTTTTGCACTGAGGCTCATTATTTAATAGAAACAAAAACATACCAAGAAACTGATAACCTAACCATCAAGTATAGGATTTTTACCACGATTTGTAACAGAAATCAGTACTCAGTTTTGCTCTACTGATACACAAGCCAATGGTTCTCTAATAAAGCTAACAGATTCCCTTTTGAAAGTTAACTCTTCAAATGTGACATTAGAAATGCTCACTACTGAGAATGTTGATCTCTGATGGCATGCTGATTAACCTGGTAGATAGGTCAGTGCTGTCAAACATCCGCCTGACTTACTGAAGCAACATGCCAGGACTTCACCTGGATCCTAACATTATAAGCTTCAGAATCCTTCACTCTTAAGTCTGCCAGGGAAAGATCCCAACGGAGGCAAAGTAACAGATAAGATGTTATCACTGCAAATCAGATACTAATCTCAGTACAAAAAGTTGAGCAATTTCCAAGTTCATTCATCTCATTGTTTACTCATCCTGCTGGAAGGTTACATTAGTATTTATTATGCAAGCTGGAAGGCCATGAAACTCTGAGAGAACCTGTCCAACATGAAAGCTGTGCAATAGTACTACATAAATATTCTACAAGTAAAAAGTTGTGTGTGCCCCCCCCCCGCCCCTGCAAACCCACAATGTCACATTTTCCTTACCACTATGAACAGTCCACCATTTTGTTCCACTTCAGCTGTTTCCATAAGCAGTTCGATAGCTTTTCTCTTCCCAATTATTTTCACTACTCGGGCAATTAAATCCTTCTTTGGCTCACAAAGCCTGGGAGGAGGGGAAAAAAAAAAAGCACATTTATTGTCAGTATAATTTCTTGAGTAAATAATTTTGTCAGTATAATTTCTTGACCATGGAACTTCCATAATGAATAATTCATTCTGTGGGACATAAAACTGTGCTAAAATTAAAGAGTCCATACATTTAAACATGTTTCAATGGCTTCTTGAATCAGATTTCAAAACACTCAGCTTCTGAGGGCTAGTTTTTTTCTGAAGCTTGCGTTTTTAAAATTTGTTTCAATGAAAATGCATTGAGTAATTATTTTTCTTCTGTTGGTGTGTAGAAGACTAAACCAAATAAGAAACTGCAAAGGCCTGTATAAATCTCTGAAATTAAAGTATAAAACTCTGCTGTGCATTTAACAGTTAAAATTACAGCACCTTTTACAGTTAAATCAGCCATTAACCAGAGACAATAGTAAGTTTAAAAGTTCCCCTGTACCATGTGTCATTCAGACAAACCTACATAATAAAAATGAAATCAGTCTGTTGACTAATCTATGATAACCTATAAAATGCAAACAAGAAAAAAATTTGCAATATTCCTGAGTTAAATTGTTTTCTTTTGTTAGCAACAATGTCCTCATACAGAAATTTTCATTGTCAGTCTGCATGAAGGGAGAGGCTTATACAGTATCAATTCGCTGTGCCAAAGTATGTACTCCCACATCGTAAGCCCCCAAATCAATACCACCTGTCCAGACCAAGAGTTCATATGCTAAATTCTCGTTTTTTAATGTCAAAGCTTCTCATTAAGCACAGTCCCAAGCACTACACCTCAGTAGTTTTACACTTTTCAGATCAGCAGACCACCATCATTACCAAAATTTCTTGAAAATTGCTGTCTAGCCCAATTGCTTCAAGTGACATTACTGTGCTATAAAGTTGCATTTGTTACAATGACTGCATAATAGGTGTTTGACCACAGATGTGAACAAGTGTTTAGAACAACCAGGCTAGCTTCAGCTGCTTCAGTTGTATGACTGAAGTTACCTGAAATTAAATGTTAAAACTCACATTTTAGTGACGATTGTCCTAATCAAGAAAAGGATTACCAAACCTGCTTAACTTTATACTTTGTGTTTAACCTCACTGAGTTCAATGAATGATAAAGCACCAGAAGGCAAATGCTTTCTTAAAATATTTATAGGATTGAGTTCTAAATTGTGAATTTTTGGAAGAGAATGAAATGTTTCTCAAAGATGCAGAGACCTTCAAGATTACCAGCATTCCTTAGAGAGCTGGTTAAATAGACCTTCTGTTACTAGCTGTGGCAGCTTAAACAGTCAAATCCCCACCCAGTGTTCATTCTGGCCCTGCACAATCCTCCTGTATGCATGCTTTAACAAGCAGCTGTGCACTGCACCATGAACTGAGTGAGGTAAAGGGCAAAAAATGGCACAAGATGGTCAGAAAAACTCTTTGATTTCAGTTCACTGTGTGGGCCAGCACAACAAAATGTTATGAATCCAGGCACTGATGGCACAGCACAGATCGAACAACAGTGCTGTGATGTGTATAACCTCAATCCTACTGGTGCAGTTCAGCACCACTACTACTATAAACAATCAGAAAAAAGAGGCTTTTGCTCTATTTGGATGAAGCTCAATATAACAAAGTAAAGTTTATTACAAGAGACATGCTCAAAGTTTTCAAATTCATAAGTAAGAAGCTACCAAGAACTGATAACAGCATTAATAATTGTCTAATTATTGCCAACATCTGCCAATACTAAGTATCACACATAAGAAACCAACAATGATCAATAAACCCAGGTTTTATTTAAACATCAAGCTCACCATCATTAAATCTTTTAACTCTTATTCTCTGTTTCACATCATTTTCTTCACTCGCACTATTGAAAAATGACTGTGGCAATTTAAGTCAATCTAAGTGAGAATGACTGCAGTTGTGCCCTCCCTTACACCATCAGTCCAGTGCTGCCAGTACTAGCTCAAAGGCAACTGTGCAGCAACTTGGTTAAGGAAACAAATCTGTCTGCGAACTATTTCCTAAAAAAGCCACTACTAAATCTGTATCATGAGAAACAATATTTTTCCTTGCCATTGTTCTCAAATTGTGGGATATTTAGAAAACAATGGACATATAGTGAACAATCCAGGCACAATGGAACTGATTATTCTGTGAGCCAGAGGCCTCTGCAGGCAGCAGGCCTCAAGGATGTGGCGAAGATTAACTGTTGCTACAAATTTGATGAAGCGAGCACAAAAAGTAGAACAAGGCTAACTGTTGCTACAGAAGTTTGATGAAATAAGCACAAAATGCTGAACAAAGTTGGGCCTACGTGACTGAAAGCAGGACACAAGACAAGTTACAGGTGGGGGGAACCATTCGCATGATCAGAAGGCCTTATCCTATCAAATTATTGTTTTAGGCACGTGGACAGCACATGTTAACCAATCATCAGATGGCTTACGCATGAGCAGGAACTAAAATACTTATATAAACCAAGCTATTTGGGCAATAAATTGGCATCTGCTTTAATCACATTGATTGTGTGCAGTGTCCGTGACTTCCGCGTCGACATCAAATAACAAAACATTTTGGTGGATCTTTTGGAAAAAAAAAATTTAAAAAATTAGACAGTATTACTGGATGCTGCTACAAGATACCAGCCATACATAATGCTGCATTTTAATCCCAGGATTTTGGAAATACACACATGCTTTTTGTAATGTGGTATGACATCTTACATATTTAGCAGTAAGAAAGCTTTTCCCTCGCCTCTTCTTTTCCATCAACAGCTTACCAATACTTAAGGAAGTGAAGATATACTGTTATTAAACTCACCGATAAGCAATTTCATCTGCCACTTTTTCCTCTGAATCTTCTTCTGTTATCTCATACCTTCCTTTATATTTCATTTCTTGTCTTTCACCCAGTCTATCTTTTACAGGCCTCTTCCGCTTGGGAAAGCCTTGCCCATTGTCATCTTCTGCTGGCAATGTTTTCTTGTCATCATGCATGTATTCATCCAGTTCTTTATCTAAAGTCTCTGCCTCCTTTTGCTGAGCTTCCTTCATCAGCTTTTTAGCCAATAAATAATTGTAAGTCTCAGACTGCCTGCTTCTGTCAATACTACCATCCATGCCTAGAATCCCAAGTTCAGTAGCCACCGCATCCTGATTCTGCTCCTGGAGCACCACACCCCAAATATTGTTGACCTTCTTGCCACCTAGAGCGGTTTGTTTCTGGTGGCTCTGGCTAAGCTGAAAAGGCTCGGATTTAGCAGGAGGAAAGTTGAAACATTTCTGTCGTTTTCGTTTCCACAGACAGCTGTCATCATCAGATTCAGAAAAGCTTTCATCACTTGAATCCACACTTTTGGTTGTCCGATAAGGAACACTTGGTGCACATGATGAAATGCTGCTCTGGAACGGTCTACCTGAATCATTGCCAACAAGTGATTTCTGAAATGAAAAAGTAAACGTCCATTAATTTAACTGTAAATTAAAAGAGCTATCAAGTCACACCAAAGATTTGGTTAGCTAGTGAACTTAATTCTGACTCATGACTGTTTGGGCAGTCCTCTACGAGCATCTTTTGGACTACAGTTGACAGAAGCATCCTATGAAACTTCTGTATTTTGAATGTTTGTGTATGAAAGAGAGTATGGCTGCTATAGATAACACATTTCCGGAGTTGCCAATCTATTTAATGTAATCTTTCTTGAATGAAATTAAAATTATTACAAGACTGGAAAAGCTATTAAAATTCCCAGATTGGAAAAAGACACAACATGCATAGCAGTTCTATGAAAGACCAAAAAAAAAAACCCAAAAAACAAACCACCACCATGACAACTTACCAGAAGTTTTTTTAACAGCACAGAAATCAGTATTTCTCTACAGAGTCTGAAAGGGGTCAAGACTAGTGATATGCAACCACAATAGCTTTCCCAGATGCTCGAGATGAAAAATTGACCAAAAAACCCAAACCCAAACCCACAAAACTTGGATACTGCTCAGACTTTGAAAAGCTAATACTGTATTGTGATTCTGGCTCAATCAGGAGAACACATGACCAGCTGGGGGCAGTAGTACCTTTCAGAAGAACTGGAGTTTTCTTCCTTTAAACCAACAAGACACGCCAGACTCATTATGGTTTCTTATTAATTAGGACAAAACCCCTAAAGGTTTCAACATACTTTGCACAAAAAAATCCCACTGCTATAAAAATATTCAAGAAATGCTGTTTCCCCATACACCTGACAGATAAACTAAAATACTAAAGCCAAACCTGCTCAAAACTGCATAACCTGCAAAAGCACCATGGGTAACATAATCCAGAATTCTTATTCTCTATTACTGGAAACTTTTGGCCATGCTGTCTGTGCTAACCTGCACTAAGCATTTTCCTTACTCATAAATCCAGTTTTTCCCTAACTAATTTACTATCATAAAGTTATATCCCGTGATCTTTAAAAATAAGACCTCTTCCTTCAGTTTCAGGCGAAATAAAAATTCTTTCTTTAAGCTTGCTGCTTTCACTAACATTACGGCACCGTTTCTTCTTCCTTCTATTAGCAAACACAAAACAGAAGTCTTTGACTTATTTTATCATGTTATGAAGTACAAACCTTTAATTTAAAAGGTATTCTATAATGCAAAACACTAACAACTCCATAAATTAACTCCCCCCCATCTGTAATAATTTATTTTGTTACACATCCCAGAACTATATTGCAAATAATCAAAATAACTAACCCCCCCCCAAATCCTTACACATACAGTGTCATACGCTGATTTATCTTATTTTGAAATTTCTTCCTGCCTGCACACCACCATAAATTCCTTGTAAACTTCATAACACACTCTAACGTGAAAACAGTATGAGACACTGGGAAAAAAAATTACATCTCTTCAGCAATTCACGGATGCAAAGGAGTTGCAACGTCAAGTGAAAGCAGTAATCGCCACTCATTACTTTCATATGTTTTTACAACCGCTCGTTTGCATTGTTCCTGAAGCGACCAGCGGTACCGGTGAGCACTCTCCTTTGCTCACCAAACCCACTGCCCAGCAACAACAAAAGCCCCCCCCCGCCCCGCGACGCATGCGGTTTTCCCAAATGAACGGGCACCGGAGGAACAAGCCGGTTCCCGGGCCCCGGGTACGGGGTAAGCAGTCACTCCGGGGGAAAGGCCCCCTGGCCCAGCCGTCCGGGCCGTACCGCCGCCCCGGCTCTGCCCTCCCCGCTCCCCAGCGGGCCCGTCCGGCGCCTCCCGCTCGCTAGCCGGGCGCGGGCCACCACGGCCGGCGGC